ATTTACTATTTTGGCAAAAACTACTGAAGCTACGTCTTAAATATTAAATATTCAACCAAGTTTATAAAACGCATCAGTGTTACCTTCAACGCATTTTTTTAACCTGAAAGATGTCATGTTGATCTGTCAGAAACAAAAGAATTTTCCCTGTCTTTTTTTAAAATAATGTAGAAAATGTAACAATATACTGAGTGGACCTGGGTGAGGAAGAGACAGCTCTTTGAAGTCAGACCAAACTTGCCAGCTTGCTTTCTACCTCTCCTAAATACCTTTGGTGGTAGCATTTATGCGCTTCAGCCAGTACTTCAAGCTTCTTGAATTGTGCATGCCATGGCATTTTGCCTTTTCCTCCTTGTGACTGAGTGGAGCATGTAACTAGGACTAACCAATAAGTGAGATGTGTGTGTATCGTTTTGGGGATCAAGCACTGAATTCCTGTTAGAGAGTCTCTGAGATAGGGACTCACTGGCTCGTTCTCACAGGCTCTCGTTATGTAGTACAGGCTTGTCCTCAAACTCATAATCCTCCTGCCTCCCAAGTGGGGACTACAAATGTACATGGTGCCCAGCTCTGCTCTCATATTTCTTACATTCTCTTTACTTTAGCTTTCATGAGACTGCAGGGCCAAATGTCCTTTGGTGAGTAGAAAGAGGTAAGATCTTTCACTGGAAATTGTCATAAGTCCTGCCCCAGTACACTAGTATTCAGAATATAGCAATGTGGACCCATATAACTTTCTTTCTGTGTGTGTGGTGCTGGGAAGTGAACCCAGGACCTTGGGCATGCTATGCAAGCACTCTCCGTTTGAACTTCTCTTCCCTTTGCCCTTTTATTTTGAGTCAGGATGTTACTGCTACCTTTGCCTTGTCTGGCTTCAAACTCACCATCCTCCGATCTGCTTGGTCAGGAAGCAGACTTTCTGAGTAAGTAGGATTACATGTGAGCATCCCACATCCGGCTTTACAAATCCATTTATAATTCTTAGCTTAGTACCGCCTCTACCCTCCATAAATATAAGATAGGGAAAGACAGGGAAAGGCACAAGAACTTCTCTCTGGTTTATACTGCCTTTGTCCTTTTGATAGCACAGAGAGATTTTTATGCTTGGGTCAATATATCATGATGTGGGATGGACGAGGCTCCTGTTTTTCTTCAGAAGACTGGGAGAAGGGTGACTGGGAAAGAAGAGTAAAAAAAGGAGACCTGACTGCAAGCAGCAGACATCACAGATGGATCTGTATTATACAAGAGGATTATGGACCTCATTAAAACAACCAAACTTAGGTCCTCCCAAAGGAGGATTCTAAGGCCAGAATTGAAGGGTACGTATCTTATTTAGGGGGTAATCTTGAAAAAGTACCATGATGGGAGAGATGGGATTAGAAGGAGGGGTTCTAACGAGCAACTGGTCGCTGTGGGACGTGGTGCTTAGTCTTTGGGGGAGGGGGGATCTGGATGGGACACACCACAGTTCCAGCTTGCATGTTTGGTTGGCACTCTACCATTTGAACCATATCACAGCCTGATTTATTGTTTGCTGGTTATATTTGGTGATGGAGTCTCATAGGGCTTTTACGTCTGAACTGGCTGTGAATCTCAGTCTTCTAGGTCTTCGCCTCCTGAGGAGCTAGGCTTATAGATGTGAGCCAACAGTATTTTTTATTGGTTGGAGACCCATCATAGATCCTTTTACCTTCAGGCAACTCTGGTGTATGTGGAGGAGCTAAGAGACCACCATGGCACACAAATCCCAGAACACAGAGCGGCTGATGACGCCAGTGGTAACGCCAAGAATCTCATGCCCAGGTGCAGGCAAGCACCGTCTCTTTGAATTTCTCCCCCCATACCACAGATTTCTCTGCAAGCTGAAAAACTAGTATGAAGAATAAAACTAATCATAGTACTTTGGTCTTTAGGTGTGAAACAAAGTAAGATTTTAAAAAAAAATACACCTTAAGTTAAAGCTTCCTATGGGTACTTGTTACTCTATCTCTGAAGAAATCTCCACTTCCTTCCCATACTTCACCTGTTCCTAAAAGGAATTACAACCATGAGACCCTGCCAGTATGGAGACTTTCCCCAAAGGTGATGGCTGGTGAGCAAGAAGGCACTTAGAAGCCAGGCAGAGTAGATCATATCCTGTACAAGTAGCTACTTAGGAGGCAGAGATCAGCAGAGTGTGGGAGGATATTGCAAGACTCCATCTTAATGGATAACTTAGCATGGTTTTTCACACCTGCCATCCTGTTATTTGAGAAGCCTAAAAGTAGGAAGATGGCAGTTCACTCTGGTCCAGGAATAACAAAAAGAAGTTATCCCCCAAATATCTACAGCCAAAAGGGCTTAGGGTCTGTCTGGCTTGCCTACGTAGCAAGTGTGAGGCCCTGGGTTTAATCCCCAATATCTACCTCTCCACATACAGGAAAAGAAAGGACTCAGGACCCATTCAGCTTCTTTCCCAAATAGAATCAACAAGTGTACCCCCAGCACTGGATGAAGTAGCATGTAAATAAGGAGGAATAGCCCTTAGATAGATAGGGGTGAATGCCAGGAGAGAGCATCCAACCCCTGCAGGGAAACTGGAGGCCTGGGATCCACCTAGAGATGGGATGACATGGAACAAGGCCCTGTCCAGACAAGCCTTGGGCCTTGGTAGAACAGGCAGGTGGGCCCCAGTGGGGGCAGGGAGGTGTCAAGCTATCCTGGGTGTACTCAGAGCAGAAATTGTTTAAGAGATAGGTTTAATTGAACAAGTTATTTAAGCATTAAAATACAATTAGGAACAACGGTGAAAAGCTATATGCATAGAAGCTGGAGAGGTAGCATAGGAGAGTGGGAATTACACTCGAGGTACTTTCCTAATAGCTAGCCTTGCTCTCGTTTCTTGGTGTTTTGTGTGCCTTCACCTCTGCCCCACCCACTCCTGTCCTCCAGGAGCCCTTCATTTCCCATCATGCTTTTTGCCCTGTGAGGCAGAGCTCAGCCTTCTGAGTGTCCACAGCACTTCCGGCTTCAGATCCCCATTCTTCCCCTAGAGTCCTTTACTGATGGTTCTTCTACAGGTGGTCGTTGGGCCTCTTTCCTGCAAGACTCTTTTCCTATAATTCTCCTTAGTTCCTGGAGCTTCCAGTCTATAAGGCTCAACTTTATGTAACACCAACAAAACAACTTCCTGAGGTTTCTTTTAGTGCCATACTGGAAGCTCTGAGTTTATTAAGGGGAGGAAGGTGGTTCTGCTTTTCCTACAGGCAGGGAACTGGCGTGGACAGGCAGGACTTCTGGTGTCTGCTTTTGGAAGTGGAGAGAACACCTCAAATGAAAGTCACAAAGGACACACCTATTTCTCATCAGGAGCTACTCCATGTGTCTTTATAACATGATGGGAAGCATTTTGTTAACATATAAAGTTCATGGTATAACTATCCTAAACAGAAGTGTGAGTTCTCTTATTCTTACTGTCCCTCAGAAGTGATGGTAAGTTCCATTTTCTTCTTGGTAAGTTTGTATGATTCCTTGTGGTGTCCCTGGAACTCACCTATTCCATAAGTGGGTCTCTCTCTCTCTCTCTCTTCCTCTTCCTATCCTGTCTCTTTTTCGGTCTGTTCTTAGACATATACAAATTCACCTTTAACCTAGTTCTCAGAAACATCTTATTTTTCAAAGAACCAAATATGATCATCACCAGACCTCCAAAATATTAAAGATTTCTTTAGAGGATTCCTCTTTCAAGTCATGACTACTTTTTTTTTTTTGGTCAGCCGTGGGGCTTGAACTCTGGGCCTGGGCGCTGTCCCTCAGCTCTTCAGCTCAAGGCTAGCACTCTACCACTTGAGCTACAGCGCCACTTCCGGTTTTCTGGTGGTTTATTGGAGATAGGAGTCTCACAGTCTCTCCTGCCCGGGCTGGCTTTGAACCGTGATCCTCAGATCTCAGCCTCCTGAGTAGCTAGGATTACAGGCGTGAGCCACCAGCAGCTCATGACTACTTTTAAGTCTACTAAATTTCTAAATTTATCTCAATGGAAGACAGCTCATTGTATTTGCTTCATTTAAAAGTTATATGTGACTCTATGTTGAAAATGAATTATACAAATTGTGGGCGGAAGGGAAAAGCTGGGAGAGCGAGGGAAGGGGTGACATGATCCAAAAAGAAATGTATTCATCACCTGACTCATGAAACAGTAACCCCTCTCTACATATCACACACACACACACACACACACACACACACACACACACACAAACACACACAGTATTAAGGAAACTAAGATGGCTTTTCTGCCATGGGAACACAAAATAAAAATGTGCTACCTGTAAGGAAACAACTCACTAGACACACAGTCTTCTGCTGCCCTGCTCTTGGCATTCACAGCTTCTAGAACTGTGAGAAGTATATGTCGTGTTCCTCAGCCACTTGTTTTCTAGTATTCTGTTATAGCAGCCTGAGCAAATTAAGACTGACTCTTCCTAGTTGTCAAGTGTGAACGCTGAACCAAGCTGCCTATGTGAAAATCCAGGGCTCTCCCACATCTACCTGTGCACATTTAATCAAGTAACTTAACTTTCCCTGGTATCAGTCTCCCTGCCTACAAAACCAGAATAATTAAATGTGGTAATTTTCCCTTATCTGCATTTCAAGGTCCCTTGGTGAATGACAGAAACTGACAGTATTTTTTTTTTTTTGGGTCAAGTCGTGGGGCTTGAACTCTGGGCCTGGGCGCTGTCCCTCAGCTCTTGAGCTCAAGGATAGCGCTCTACCACTTGAGCCACAGTGCCACTTCCGGCTTTTTTCTTTTTTCTTATGTGGTGCTGAGGAATCGAACCCAGGGCCTCAGGCTTGCAAGGCAAGCGCTCTACCACTGAGCCACCTTCCCAGCCCCAGAAACTGACAGTATTAAACCCTATATATACTCTTTTTTCCTATATGTATATATGTATAACAAAGTTTAATGAATAAATTATACACAGTAAAGAATTGGTGACAGTAATTAACAACAAAACTGAATTGTAGCAATATACTGTAATAAAAAATTATATGAATGTGCAAAAAAGAAGTTATATGCCATGGGACCCACAGTTTTAGTATCAGTCAACTTCTGAATGTTTGTATTCTACAGTGCCCACAGAGAGGAAGGGGTAGGGGCTGGTCAGATCTGTGGCTACCCACTGAGCTAGGACTGCTATTCTCTGGGCTTCTTGGGCTATGGCTTTTCCCTTTTTCTTAGCATTTCACCTCCTCTTCTGATCGTCGATCCTCTTGGAGGTAAGAAGTTACTTTCTTTCCGTCATCAAAAGCCAGAAAGACGTCTAAATCCCATTCTTTCTTTCTTTGCAGTTCTTTCTGTGTTTTCAAGCAGAGAACAGTGTCCACCAAAAACATGATTCCCAGTGACGGATAGAAAAGGATGTGAAACCAGACAGGAATTGGTGACTGGAGTCCTGAAACAGGAAAAAAAAAAAAGGCAAATAGAAGAGATACTATTTAGAGGTAAGTTATTTGAGGGAGGCCTAGGGTGCCTGTTCCTGGAAGAGACACTGGGAAGTTCAGCACACAAATGGAACTATTGGGAACACCAGCGGGGATACCTAGTGAACTCTTCCTGGAAGAGATTTAACTGCTAGGGTACTGTCAGCAGACTTAGTGTCAGAGATACTGCTCTCTCTATGCTTATTGAACGCTTAAATGATCTTGAAGATTAAATTTATTTTCCTAAACAGTTTTTCCCCCAGAAGGAGCTCACAATTAGATATCAACACATGGGCAGGAAATTATGTGCAGTCCTTAAAGTCACTCTCCTAAGCCCGCCATTTGTGCCCGTTGGATCAAAAGCTACACCCTGGTGTCTTTATAGTTCCAGACCCATGGCAGTCAGCAGGAGGAACTCAACATATTGTTGATGAGACTGTAAGAGAGAGGGAAAAGGGGAGGAGAGAAGGGAGGTAAGATTGGGAGGAGTGAGAATAGAAGATGAATAAGAAGAAAAAAGAAGGATGAGATGAAATTTTTTTAAAAAAAGGTCAACGATGAGAGAAGTTTGATAAAGCTAGTGAGAATAGTGCATTTCTAAATCCAGGGCTTTTTCCTAGAGAGATTTCCTCTTTCTAGCTAGGCCCTGAAATCCTGAAACCCTCGACCCCAGCCCAGCCCCAAGTGAGACCCCCTTCTCCTAAGCCAGTCTCTCTCCGTCATTTTCACTCACCAAGCACTTGAAGCTCCAGCTCAGGGCTGCGCTTAATGATACTTCCATCTTTTGTGGCAGCCTCACACCAGTAGAACCCAGAGTCTTCTCTTCTAGCAGTCAGTATCTGGTACTCAGAGGATGTGTTCCTATCCTGCAGGGTCTTGTTGCCCAGGTAGAAGGAGAAATAAAGCTGCAGCCCAGGCTGCAACTGCGTTTCACAGCTCAGGTTGACCAGATGCCCCTCTAGAAGGGGGGATGACAAGGATGCTGTGAGCACTGGAGCTGGAAATAGTTCTAAAGAGATAGTTGAGAAATGTTAGAGCTGCCTGCTTCAGTGTCAGCTGTCTTTCCACAACAGCCATACCCTCTTCCCATTTAGGAAACCTGCCCTAAGCAAATACTTCCATTTGGTATATTTGTTCCCACTGGCAATAGAGAGGTACTCTTGGGATTTTCAAACAGGCAGAACTATGGTTGCCATCTTGCTTGCAGCTTGTTGAGAAGAAGACCTTGACCTGTGCACACTTCCCTGAAGGACCATGCTATTCAAGCTATAGTCATACCACTACCAGAATACACACTCCCTTACACACTTGCCAGTTCAGTGACTCATTACTTGTGTCCCTGATTCAAGAGAAAATCCAGGACAATAATTTCTTTCCCACAGGAAAACACTTTTTTTTTTAAAGAAGAAAGTTGGAATTGTGCATACTAAGAGGAAAAGCATGAAAGCATCAAACCAGAGTCATGTTCACACTGGAACACAGGACACTGCTTAGTTTTAAATGCTTAGAAGTAAGACCAGTGAGACCACATTGTCCCTGAGAGAGAAAAGGAAATGGAAAGTATGCAGAACCAATTCTTAGTGGTTATCTGCTTTCTATTTTTATGGAACTTTAATGAAATCTGATTGGATTATTTCCTAATCACTCTCCTGACTACACTGAGTGAGTTTCTGATCTTTGTCAGTAAAATAAAACTGATGAAATAAATATTATTATTAGATATAATGCTCTGATATTTTTGGGTACCAGTCCTGAGGTTTGAACTCAGGACCTAGGTGCTATCCCCGAGCTTCTTTTGTTCAAGGCTAGCGCTCTACTACTTGAACCACTACTGCTGGCTCTTTTTTTATGCTCATTTATTGGAGATAAGAGTCTCACTGACTTTCTTGCCTGGGTTGGCTTCAAGCCACAATCCTCAGGTCTCAGCCCCCTAAGTAGCTAGAATCCCAAGAATGAACTACCAGCACTCAGCTAACTCTGATTTTTGGCAACAGCTTCTACAATTATGGGCATGCCATTTGGTATAGTGGGGAGGGCAGTGGACTGGAGTCCATTGACCCCAGTGACCTCTGGTCCTACCCAGCCTAATAGTCATCGTGGGGCCTTTAGTGAGTCAGTTTGCTTCCCTGGATCTCAGCTGCTTCACTCATACATTTGAGGGCTTGAGATATTTTGAATGCCTTTTTTGGTCCTTAAGATGATGATGGCTCTCTTAACTATTGAGACACAATACCGTTTACAGTGATAGACGTTCCGGCTGATTTGAAGCGCTGTCTTCCCTTGCCGGAGCAATGATAGTTGCCACTGTGGCTCACATTGGTTTTCAGAATTGTGAGTTCAGAATCTCGAGGAGAAAACTTAAAGGTTTTGCCATTCTGGTAGAAAAGCACATTGTACACCTGCTTGTCCTTCCAGCCGTGGCATCTCAAGGTCAGATTCTGCCCTTCAGTCAAGACTCTGGCAGTGGGCTGGAGCAGCAGCCAGTCTGGAAAGGATGGAATTGAAATGTTCACTTAGCTTTGAGGAAGAAGGAGGAAACCGAAGCTTGGCACTGAGCATTTTATCTTTTCTTCTGGCAGCATTCCACATTCAAAATGCTCCTTTATCTGAGCCTTGTTTCCATGGCTCTAATATCTAGTGTTTTTTTAAAAATAATTTTTTATTGTGAAAATACTGTACAGAGGGGTTACAATTACATGAGCAAGATAATGAGTACATTTCTTATCAAGCATTGTAGCCTTCTCCCTTGTTTCCCCTTCCCATCCCATCCTCCCTCCATCCCCCTCCCCAATCTAATATCTAGTTTTGGTAGAAAGAAAAAAAAATGTTGACCTGTAGTTATGTCTATGACCCCTTGTTGTCTTCTCTTTCCAGATCTCAGCAATTGGGTGGGACAAACACAGTTCATTCTATGTCATAGACAAAATTCTAAGATGGCCACAATGAGTCTCATACTTGTAAAAGCCCTTTCAGTGTAGCTAGGGTCTGTGATTCTCTTCTGACCTACAGGATATGACAAAGGCCACTCTTGTGTTTGTTTTATTATGGAAGACGCTTCCATAGCAGACTGGATGAGCTCTCCCAGCTGACCTTGAAGCAGTAAGCTGCCGTATGTGAAAGAGCTGATGAGTCTACATGGCAGAGACCATTAGGTGACAGCTGACAGCAAGCAAGAGAGCAGGATCGTCAGTCCTATCACCGCAAGGAACTGCACTCTACTAATAATCTTACGAGCTTGGAAGAAGGGGAAAAAGGAACACAACAACCCCGTCAGCAATCCAGTTGCAGCCAGCTAAGCTGCACAGCTGCATCTGACCCCTGGAAACTGGGACATAAATGCCTGTAGCTTTAAGTTTGTAGCTAAGTTTGTAATTGACAATAATTTGCTATAACGTCTGAAACAAATTGTTAATAGGAGCACATACCCTAAGCTAGAGATACAGAATGGCAAACGTGTAGACATGTACACCCTGCCAAGTTGATAGAAATATTCACACATGGGCAAGTCAGGGATAGCACAGGAAAACATAATCTCCGAGTCAAATGGGCCTGCCCTTCTTTGTAAATCCCTGGACATCACCCCAAATGTGGCCTTTACTTTTTCCTTCCCCAGGGACAGGGACTGTTGGATTATCTAAATCAAGATGAAAGTTTGGGGGGAGGGGATGAGAAGAAGATGGTAAGGGATTTCACCCTTCAGAATTTATCTAAGATTAGAAGGCAGGTGTTCCAGTGCTGTATGCAGCATTATTTTTGTAGTCTTGGGTACTGCCATAGTGACTCTATTATACCCAAGACTCTTCTTGTCTCTATTCCTGTCCCCAACCAAGAAGTGCTCCAGGACGACACTGTCCACGCATATACACAGGCATCTTTGTGTTATAGATCCAAAACATAGTGGGAGATTTTAAGATACCTCCATCAGACACTTTCAAAAACACACACAAAATTAAATGCCATGGTTAATCAATCTTGAGGCATGCTCTGAAAGAGAAAATTTAGATACTTTCCAAACATATATGTATGGTTATAAAATCTGATCATATGTTAGTTTAACCACAAAACAATTTTCAACAAATGCTGAGAATTGGTATCATATTTAAAATTAGAGGTGACCATCATATCCCACAAAAATCAGTCACAAGAAGCTACTTCCCAAAGGCTTTTAGATTTTTTTCATGAGCAACAACAACAAAAAGGAAAAGGAGGGCTGGGAAGGTGGCTCAGTGGTAGAGTGCTTGCCTATCATGCATGAAGCCCCAGGTTTGATTCCTCAGTACCACATAAACAGAAAAAAAAAAAAGCCTGAAGTAGTGCTGTGGTTCAAGTGGTAGAGCACTAGCCTTGATCCAAAGAAGCTCATAAACAGTGTTCAGGCACCCTGAGTTGAAGCCCCATAAATGGCAAGAAAGAAAAGAAAAGAAAAAGAAGCCGAGTGCCAGTGGCTCATGCCTGTAATCCTAGCTACAAAGGAGGCTGAGAGGATCACGGTTCAAAGCCAGCCTGGGCAGGAAAGTCCATGAGATTCTTACCTCCAATAAACCACTAGAAAACTGGAAGTGGTGCTGTGGCTCAAGTGGTAGAGCGCTTGCCTTGAGCTGAAGAGCTGAGGGACAGTGCCCAAGCCCAGAGTTCAGGCACCATGACTGACCAAAAAGAAGAAAGAAAGAAAAAAAAAAGAAGCCAGGCACTTGTGTCTCATGGCTGTAATCCTAGTTACTCAGAAGGCTGAGATCTTGGGATTCAAGTTTGAAGCCAGCCCAGGCAAGAAAGTCTGTGAGACTTATCTCCAATATACTACTCAGAAAAAGCTGTAAGTAGTCCTGTGGCTCAAGTGGTAGGGTTCAAGCCTTGAGCAAATGAAGTTCAGGCCCAGAGTTTAAGCCCTAGGACTGGCAATAATGATGATGATGATGATGATGCAATAAAACTATGATGGAATTAAAAAAAATCTTAGTCAGGTGTTGGTGGCTTACACCTATAATCCTAGTAATCCTAGTTCCTTAGGATCTGAGGATCACAGTTGAAATCTCTGCTGGATAGAAAAGTCCATAAGACTTATCTCTAATAAATCAGTAATAAACCAGAAGTGGAGGTGTGGCTCAATTGGTAGAATGCTTTGAGTGAAAAAAACTAAGGGAACTGGATAAAACAGGGAAAAAAAAAAAAAAGAAACCGCTTCTAGGCCCTGATTCCTAGTGCACGTGCACACGCGCGCAAACACTCACACACACACATACACAACACACACATTCCCCCCCCCCAAAAAAAAGCCTTGAATGATGAGTATTTTATATAAAAATGTATGGGATGAAAATTTTGCATATATATCTTGCTAATTTACTATTCAAAACCATTTCTACATCTTCATGACATTAGAGTAGGAAGAGGCCATTCATTCTAAGCATCATGATTGGAACACTAACAATTCCTACATTAACCAAGTATATTTTCTTGGTCTTAGCATCCACAATTTGGAATGCCAATGTATCTGTGATGAATTCTTCTGTTAGTAATTATGACAATATAATTTTTATATAGGCTGTAAAGAACACTAACCAAAAACCTTGGTATATTGTACTATAATCATATTAAGTCATTTCTTTCACTGAAAGAAATATCTTTGTGTGTTGGGAAGGTGGCTCCGTGGTAGAGTGCTTGCCTCGCATGAGGCCCTGGGTTCAATTCCTCAGAACCACATAAGCAGAAAAATTCGGAAGTGGCGCTGTGGCTCAAGTGGTAGAACACTAGCCTTGAGCTGAAGAGCTCAGTGCCCAGGCCGAGTTCAAGACTCATGACTGAAAAAAAAAAAAGAAATATGGTTGTGAAAAACAACCCAGTCTTAGAAGATATTTGCAACACTTGACAAAGAACCTATATCCAAAATAAATAAAGAGTTCCCGTAAGCTAATTAGAAAACAAGCGACACATTTTAAAAATGGTAAAAATTGGCTGGGAAGGTGGCTCAGTGGCACAGTGCTTGCCTTGCATTCATGAGGCCCTGGGTTCGATTCCTCAACACCACATAAGCAAAAAGAAAAAAGCCGGAAGTGGCGCTGTGGCTCAAGTGGTAGAGTGCTAGCCTTGAGCTGAAGAGCTGAGGGACAGCGCCCAGGCCCAGAGTTCGGGCCCCACGTCCAGAAAAAAAAAATGGTAAAAATGACCTAGATATTGACAGGATATCCAAATAGTTCATTAACATATGAAAATTGGTCAATACTGTTAAACCACCATGAAAATACAAATTAAGACCATCAGCTACTAAAATGACAAAAACAAAAAACTGTAGAAAATACAACTAAGATGGGTAAGATCCCAAACTCTCATATTCTATGGAAGTATAAATTGGTTCAAACTACTTTGAAAACCTGATCAGCAATATTTGCTAAAATTGAATATATACATACTTTGAGACCTAGGAATTTCATGATCAGACATCTAACACACACACACATACACACACACACACACAGATAGCATCCACATTGAGGAAGGCTCTGTGACTTCAGCCTTTCTGCTCTATGCCATACTTACCTTTGTGAACTTCTAACTGCACAGGGTCACTTAGTCTTGAGAGAGATGTCTGACACCTATATTCTCCACTGTCATTGGGCCTGGCCTCAGTGATGTTGTATGTGGGACTCGAGGTCTGAATGGCTGTGCCATTGAGAAACCACTGGGTGGAGCTGTTCCCAGGCCCTTCACAGTTGAAGGTAACACTTTCCTCTTGGAACACACTGACCCATGGAGGCCGCAAGGTGATCACTGCCCTTGTGGGGTCTGCTTGGGGGTAAAACAAAAACACAAACACGTACAAAGGCAAAACAAAACAAAACGAAAAAACAACCCAAGTAGAGTCAAACAACCCAAGTAGAGTCAAAGGATGGGCTGTATGTGCCTGGAAGGACTTGAGGCTAGCACAGGATAAACTGCATCCTTAGACTAGTTTGAGATCAGGCTGTGGCAGGCAGGCAGCCTTTCTTTGTGTCCAGACCCTGCTGTAGAGAGTTCTATCCAAGCCCTTACGTTATAACCTGAGCCTTGGGGATTTAGGAAATACCCATCTGTCCAAAGCAGGACTTTCAATGAGGGCAAACAGACTGAAGTCCGTGTCTGTGGTTGCTGCTGTGCTAGACTGAGTCTGTGGGTAAATTGTGAACTTTATTGGCCTCAGCACTGGAAATGGAGGCTTTAATGTCACCCTTTCAAACCTTCAAAACCTGCCTGGCTCTCTCTGACTGAGGAGAGCACACCGACTTAGCTTTCTTGTAAAGGGGACTGATTTGGAGCATGCTAGAAAACTTGACCAAGCGGCTTCTGTGTGTCTGTGATTCTAGCCTTTGCCTGCTCTCTTTTATATATACTAAGCCATTTGGTTCAGTAGCCAAAGCTCATTTAGAATCTTTAGGAGGAAAGTTTTAATACCAAAGTTTTACAGATAGGTACTGGTAGCTCATACCTATATATAATCCTTGCTACTCTAGAGGCTGAGATTTGAGGATCTCATTCAAAGCTAGCCTGGGCAGAAAGGTCTGAGCTCCAATAAATCAGCAAAAGGCTAGAAGTGGAGCTGTGACTCAAGTGGTAGAGTGTGAGCCTTGAGCAAAACGATTCAATTGGGAGCTCAAGCCCTGAGTTCAAGCCCACTATCAACATTTTAACCATTTTTTTTGGTCTGGTGGTGGGGCTTGAACTCTGGGCCTGGATGCTGTCCCTCAGCTCTTCAGCTCAAGGCTAGCACTCTACCACTTGAACCACAGCATCACTTCCGGCTTTTTTCTTTTTGCTTATGTGGTGCTGAGAATCGAACCCAGGGCCTCAGGCATGCAAGGCAAGCACTCTACCACTGAGCCACCTTTCCAGCCCCTCACTATTAACATTTTATCTTAGTAAAATCCCACTTAAGATATGGGAGGTTTTACATATAAATCTATCTCCTGTCTGTCTTCTCCCTACACTTGCATCTTTAGGTTAATGAGACCCTTCTTTGGGAAGTAGGAATGCAGCATAAGAGGAGAAGTTGGGTTAGAAGTCACTTACCCACTTGTCCATAGACTGGAACTGTAAGAGACCAGAGAACAAAGTCAGCTAACGGGAGATGACAAGGAAAGGGTCTCTGGGAAGATAGAATTAATGTGTATTGAAGTGCTGTCTTAGATCTCCTCAGAGTCTGTGTTGTTTTGGTTTTTTATTTCTCTCAAAATCAAATACCAACGGACCTGATGGTTATTATTGCTGAGGCTTTATTATTTTAATCAATTGGTTAATTAATTATGTACTGATATCACAGCTTGAACCACAGTTCCACTTCTGGCTTTTTAGTGGTTAATTGGAGATTTAAAAAAATCTCATGCACTTTTCTGCCCAGGCTGGCTTTGAATTGTGAACCTCGGATCTCAGCCTCTTGAGAAGCTCAGGTTATGGCTATGAGTCACCAGTGCCTGGTATTGAGCCTTTATTTTGGTAGGAAGCTTCCAGACTTAGTGCTACTTCAGGGACCCTTTTCCATCTTTTTATTAAATCAGCCCCAGTAAGCCATCAGATCACAGATACAACAGAGTTGTCTCCATACTCATGAATTCTAGCCTACCATATTTAAAAGAGACAAATAACCTTGACTCTCATAGTCGGAACCTACGCCCTTGTAGTCACCCGCTCTGAAGCCAACTTACCGCACAGGAGCAGAACCGTCAGGAGCCACATTGTTCTGTCCACTCTGATAGGAACAATGGCATCTGTCATGGGCAAGACATTGAAGAGTTTCTGCTGGGGGCTCTCAAAGCCAAAATTAGAAAAGAGGAAGGAAATTGACATTTCTGACCATTTTCACCATGTTCCTTTTCTGGAAAATACATCCCTAATTCTCAAAGCATGCTTTCTCTGTTGTCATAACCCTACATATGTGGCCAACCCTTTAGTTTGGGGGTTAAGAACTTTCTGAATCCAAGGGAAGAGCTAAACTTTTCATGGCATTCTATTCTGATTATATTCTTCTACTATTTTTGTTTGGCAGGGCAGGACTATGGCAAAATTCCACTTTTATTTATTTATGTATTTATTTATGTATTTATGTATGTATTTATTTATTGGTATGTGGATGCCAGTCCTGGGCCTTGAAGTAAGGGCTTGAGTGCTGTCCCTGAGTTTTTTGGCTCAAAGCTAGCATACTACCACTTGAGCCACAGCTCCACTTCCAGCTTTCTGATGATCAACTGGAGTTAAAGGAGTCTTATAGATTTTCCTGCTCTGGCTGGCTTTGAATTGGGATCCTCACATCTCAGCCTTCTAAGTAGCTAGGATTATAGACATGAGCCATAGGAATCTAGGAATGTTCCACTTTTATACTGAATGCAAGAGTTGGTGAATGTTTAGTCATCGGAATGCAGAAGACTCACCTGCCTCTAGGCTGTGTATGAGGGAAATCCTTCCAATGCAAGCCAGCCTCTGCACCTCTAGATAGGGGGATACAGGAAGGATCAATCTTCCATTTTTGGTAAAAATCAGCATGAACATCTATTTCAGTTACACAGTTACTATCAACAGTGCCTGTGGAGATCCCTACTCCAGATAGGGAGGCTCCACTGCCATAGTAGCAGGAAGTACAGAGGAACATATCCTATTTATGCTGCTGCCCATTCTACATCTGCCTGAAATACCATTGTCCTCATTCTTACAACACTTGCCAGAGACATTGGATCCTGTCTCCAATACCATATGTGTAGTACCAAAACTCACAAATCACAACCAAAGAGACTACTGTGGATACACAAGTATCAATACAAAGAACAACAACAACAAAAAATAGCAACAACCAAATCAACAAATTAGTATGTCACCTGATAAAGTGCATAATCCATAGTGAAGATTCAAAAGATGTCAAAGTGGATAAAAGCCTAAAGAATTCAAAAGAATAATTTAAGAGCTCAATGAAATCTAAGAGTTGAATGAGTTAATGCAGAGAAGTAGGTAGGTGCTGGGGGAAACACTGGGAGAGAATAATGGTGGATGACCCTAGGTAAACCCAAAACATAATAAGGTTGCAAATTAAAAATACTTTCATAGAAACAAATTCATATTCATATGATGAAGACAAAGTCTATACTGCAGAAGGTGTCACAGAAGCAGCTGATTATGAAGGCAGGGTGTCAGGAGATGGCCTGCCCACAGATTGGTCAGCATTACCAGGATGCAGCTAAAAAGAAGAAATGGGAAGAACAGTTAGGGAGAGGATGAAAAGGCTCCTGGGAGGTGACACAGGAAGCACAGGAAAAAGATGGTGGCTGCGACTCTGATGCAGGAAATGAGCAAAACCATGATCCCACAGTTACCATCATGACTTTATCAGAAATTCGCCATCTTGGGTTCGCCATCTTGGCCACGTGTTGGGTTAAGGGTTTGACTTCATCTGACCCTTACCCTTCCACCAAGCTTACTACTCCTCCACCAATTTATTCTAATGTGCTTTGCTAACAAGTTGCTACCTCTTTTCACAGGCCCTGGAAACTGAAACCGGATCATCTGATGTGCTTTGTTAGCAAAGATGAGTAAACATTATTGTCAAAAAAAAACTGGGGTTTGAGTTTTGCCTTTTTTGTTTGGTGTTGCCTATTCTAGCACTGACCATGTGGTTCTAAAATATTGGGCAAAATAATGTCATCTTACTGCTGGAATTCCAAGAGTCTATGGCCATTATTCATTTTTGCGTGCTGTAAAACTTAATGTGCACAGTGTGTAGTGTGTGTATATGTGTGTACACACGCCTATGTGTGTATGTCTGTGTCTGTGTAAACTTATCTGGCATTGTAATCAAGTTACTTGGCTTAAATGGTCTGAGATTCCTGAATTTTGTTCAGTTTGAATTCGTAGTTCAGTGCCAGCCAGTCTATACATAGTCCAGATCCAGTCCATCTCTTCCAATCTGGAAGACAATCTCACTCCTGACTAGACCATCCTGACTACTTCCACCATGGTAAAAGTAGACTGGACTCGTGCCTGACTCCATCACCTGCCGCTGATTCCTGGTGAAAGATTGCTTTGGATTTGTAAAAACTAAGACTCTTGTGTGACTTTCTTTGTGTAATATTAGGTTTGTAATCTTACCCAGCCTAACCTGGAAAAGGCTGGCTATGTTGTTATGTTAGTGAAACTGAAACAAGTGTAGGCCAGGAGAACCTCTTGTGAACTTTGGTTAACTTAAGCACCCTTGGGGTCACCAGAAAACAATACTATATCTGTGCTAAAACTCTCATCACATCTACTGAGCTTTGTCATGGCAGAATATCTGCTCCTTGATAAGGATCAGATAAGCGCTACTTATTTCTGTTTGATTTCCCTGTGCTTTAATTGGAAATCATAAAGGATTTTTGTGGCAAAGATTACAGTTCAAAACCAGCCCGGGCGGAAAAGTCCCTGAGACTCCACCTCCCAACTAACCGGCAAAGAGCCAGGCTTGAAGCATGGCTCACGAGACTATTATCGCTAATTAACCAGCCAAACACTGAAAGTGGTACTGTGACTCAAGTGGTAGAGTGCTAGCCTCAAGCAGAAGTGCTCAGGGACAGTGCCCAGGCCTTGAGTTCAAACCTCCTTGAATACCAACTGGGACGAGCCATCCCAGCAACGAGCACCTAGACCCAGCCAGTCTGGGGAACAAGGGACCATGGAGAGGAGTAAGAGATGATGTCACATCAGCCACTTTGTGCCTGCCCTTTCAAAACTAACCAGAGCCGGAAGGTCAATAGAAGTAAGAAGCCTGCCCATCTAATGTCCATACTTGTCTATCTTCTAACTGGACAGGAATTTACATTCTTGCCTTTGTTACCTGACGCTCTCCCCTACTTAGTCGCCATATGCCAGAAGTAGGTAGGGACATTTCTACCAACTCCAGGGCAGCCTGGAATGCAGGAGATAAGAACTAGCCATTCTAGCCAAGTCATCCAATTTTTAATTTTCTTCCTCCCCAAACCCTTCCTCTTGCCATTTGTTTGCTTTCTGGCATTTTTTTTTTTTTTTTTGCCTCGCCTCTCCTGCCTCAAGAGACTTCTTCCAGACTTCATTCAAGAACTACTACCAAGGGGCTGCTGCTGCCTTCTCTGGGAGAGGACCTCATCTCTACCTTGCCTTTTACCCTAATTCAATGCCCCTTGCCAGCAGGAAGTAGCCTGAGAGAATCTTCACCCTTTTTCATAATTATCAAAAGGCTGCCATGCAGACCCAGGGCAGACACCTCCCCACCTCTTGGCTAAGTTTCCAACCAGTATCTGTGTTACCTAGGTAACTGGCACAGCTGGAAGCGGTCACACCCTTCTCCTCCCCCTCCTGCTAGGTTACATCCTGGACTCCCCCCCCCCCTTGCCTTCCATCTGACCAAACATGGGTCTCGGGTCCTGAGGTCACATCCAGATCCTGTGTGGCCATACCTTTCCCCCACCAGGCCACACCTCTACCTTTCCCTAGCCTACATAAATTCTGGCCTGGGGATGGGTTTTCTCTTTCGGTCATGCTTCTCCACCAGGCATGGCAGGGGCAGCAGTTTGGTAAATAAACTTCTTTTCCTGCCTGAATAGCGTGTGGTTTTCTCTTCATTGGCTACCTAATGAAACCTACCTACTTAATATACCTTACAGTTTCCATAACTCACGCACAAGCAATAAGAACTTGTCAGCTTGATGTCTGTGAATGGGTGGCCAAGAACACATTGCAAGACATCTCAGTGTTACCTATTATCTCTTCTGACATTACCAGGCAGTCCTACACCATTATTAATGTGGCAAATATAACTAAACCCTTCAAAGACAACCTTCTGAAAACTAAATTGAAACTGTGAACTATGAGTTCAAATTTATGGAATCTCTACATAAGATGTGGTTTTTAGTGGTGGTGACCCATGGCAGGAAAATAATTCTCGAGATGTGGTAGAAGTTGTTCCATATCTCCCTAAGTATCTATTTACATGATATTTAGAATGTTCTTAAAGCAACCGTAGATGGTATTATTGTAAGGAAGGTTTTGGAGAATATTTAAGCCAATCTTGTATCCAAAAAACAAGATATAAGCAAGGTTTCATTTGTACTACTAGGTGACGAGATATTTCAGTGGCACAACCAAAATTGTCATCAGCTGCAGTCATGAACAGTTTAGCCAACCTCAAATTGTTCCTCAAAGTGTATATTAAAAAAAATACTGCTCCTACAAATGGTGTTAAAAATGAAAAGTGGCCAGAAGATATTATTGCTAAAACCAAGAAAAAGCAGGGTATGAGAGATCATGCTTATAATCCTAGCTACTCAAGAGACTACAATCTGAGGATTACAGCTCAGAGCCAGCTCAGGCTGACAAACCTTAAAGACTCCTATCTCAAATTGACCAGGAAAAGCCAGAAGTGGAGGTAACATTTGAGTGCAAAATCTCAGGAACAGCAGCCCAGGCCCAGGCCCTGAGTTCAAGCCTCAGTATGTACCCACAACTACCCACCAATCTTATCTTCAGGTTCTACTTTTAATTCTAGCACTCTTGTTTTTGCAGTTCCTTGCGCTAAAGACTTGAACCTCTCAAAAACATTCATAAGGGTTAGAATTACCTTTTTCTAAATTCCCATACATGCTGAAAATTGTGCCTTCCTCCCATAAAGCACCAGTATTATTAATGGTATTTAGAATAATGAATCTTTTTCTGGAAAGTTTTACTTTGTTCAGATTCATTAGCGGAATCTCTAAGCAGAGTAGTTACATACTTTTAGAAAAT